CCTGTGACTGATTTAAAAACAAAAAGCAGGAACTTTTTCCACTGTATAGATCTATAGAAATGCCAACCATTTCTATGCCTTCCAGGTTGGTCACTGCTGGCATGTACAGAATAGGTTTTGACCCATAGGAGACAATGTATAGTATCTGGTGGCTGAGTAGTTGGGGGAAAAAGAATCAATGATGCTTTGCAAGACTTGATGGTAGGTGAATGTGAAAGTCGTTAAATGTTAAGTGTTTAGTGTCACCGTTTCAGTTTATTTTTCTACATCATGGTCATTTAAAACGTTGCCCATCGTGACTCACTTGATGTAGCATTTGTTTTTACAGTGAGATGGGTTCTTTAAAGCTGTTTTGGATCAGAGGTAAGTTAGCTCTTGACAGCCCAGAACTGGCTGATTGCTTTGAAAGTGTCCCAGAAACTGACTTGGTCTTCATACAGGGTGGTGTCCCATTTGGCTGTCAGATCCAGCACTCCCTTTCAAGATTACAGTACAGAGAGATTGTTTCCACTGGTAAAAGGGGTCTATAATTGGGGCGTAGTCTCAGGATAAGGAGTCGATTACTTAGGACTGAGATGCCGACACATTCCTTTGCTCAACAGGGTTGTGAATCCTTGGAGTTATTCCCCAGAGGGTTTCAGATGCTCCCTAGTTAAATACACTCAAAGCTGGGATAGCCAGCAGTGGGATTAACCCTCCGATAGTTCCCATTAGCTTAGTAGTGCTCAGTGCCTACTCTTGTGGCAGGAATAATTTGGGTTATGTAGTCAATAGCTGGTACCCCACAGTAACCCGTGTATCTGGTAGTTAGCACAGCGTGGTAAAATTTGACAGCACCTCTGTCTTGAGCATGTTTTCTTTTTCTCCCCAAGTGCCTGAGAACAAGTCTCATTGATAATATCCTGTTCAAGTGCCAGATATTCAACAGTGAATAATATGATCTGCCCCCCCGATTGTGTACAAACCCTAGATTTGGTCGAGTGAAAGATTTGCAAAGTAACAGGACTCTTCGGCTGTAGATTTAAAGACTTCATAATTTTAAACAGAAACTCCTAATTACAGCAGCCACTCAGTAATATCAATGGATGAGTGTATCAAAGTACAGAATGTATTGCATGAGATGACACTTTAGAATTAGGTTTTATTGTCACTTGTACTCAAGTACAGGAGTACACTGAAAAGCGCCATTTTAGGTACAAAGTACCTAGTTACATATCTTCAATGCTGAAATAGATTAGGTACAAAAATAGAGAAATAAAAAGGCTAAAAGTTCTACATTACAGTTCTTCATAGGTTGAGAGGGACATTATAGAAGTTTATAAAATAATGAGTGGTTGTCTTTTCCCTAGGGATTTCAAGTCTCGGGGACACATTTTTAAGGTGAGAGGAGAGACATGGCAATTTGTTTACACGGAGGGTGGTTCGTGTGTGGAATGAACTGCCAGAGGAAGTGGTGGGGTGCAGGTACAGCTGCAATGTTTAAAAGACATTTGGATAAATACATGAATTGGAAGGGTTTGGAGGGACATGGGCCAGGAGCAGGCAGGTAGGACGAGTTTGGAACTGGTTGCAGCGAAGTGTCTGTTTCCATGCTGTGTGACTCTATGACTCTATAAATAAACTTAAAGGATAGACATTGCAGTCCTTGTATAGCCTGTAGGCACTCCAAACAGGGGGGCTTACCACACAAGGTCTCACTCTCAAATCAAATTGTTTCTCTTACAATGGAGATAGCAGATATGACATACATATGACGTACATCTGTGGTTTCAATCTGTAGCCATGCTGATTAATTCCAGAACTCCAATTGTAACACCGTTAATTTGGTTACGTTTACTTTAGCAATGGAAAGGGATAGGTATATACCGCAGGGCAAGAGTTATAGCTGGGGGAAAGGCAATTATGAGGCGATTAGGCAAGATTTAGGATGCATAGGATGGAGAAGGAAACTGCAGGGGCTGGGCACAATTGAAATGTGGAGCTTGTTCAAGGAACAGCTACTGCGTGTCCTTGAGAACTATGTACCTGTCAGGCAGGGAGGAAGTGGTCGAGCGAGGGAACCATGGTTTACTAAAGAAGTTGAATCTCTTGTCAAGAGGAAGAAGGAGGCTTATGTAGAGATGAGGCGTGAAGCCTCAGTTAGGGCGCTTGAGAGTTACAAGTTAGCCAGGAAGGACCTAAAGAGAGAGCTAAGAAGAGCCAGGAGGGGACATGAGAAGTCTTTAGCAGGTAGGATCAAGGAAAACCCTAAAGCTTTCTATAGGTATGTCAGGAATAAAAGAACGACTAGAGTAAGATTAGGGCCGGTCAAGGACGGTAGTGGGAAGTTGTGCGTGGAGTCCGAAGAGATAGGAGAGGTGCTAAATGAATATTTTTCGTCAGTATTCACACAGGAAAAAGACCATGTTGTCGAGGAGAATACTGAGATACAGTCTATTAGACTAGACGGGATTGAGGTTCATAAGGAGGAGGTGTTAGCAATTCTGGAAGGTGTGAAAATAGATAAGTCCCCTGGGCCGGATGGGATTTATCCTAGGATTCTCTGGGAAGCTAGAGAGGAGATTGCAGAGCCTTTGGCTTTGATCTTTATGTCGTCATTGTCTTCAGGAATAGTGCCAGAAGACTGGAGACTAGCAAATGTTGTCCCCTTGTTCAAGAAGGGGAGTAGAGACAACCCTGGTAATTATAGACCAGTGAGCCTTACTTCGGTTGTGGGTAAAGTGTTGGAAAAGATTATAAGAGATAGGATTTATAATCATCTAGAAAGGAATAATTTGCTTAGGGATAGTCAACACGGTTTTGTGAAGGGTAGGTCGTGCCTCACAAACCTTATTGAGTTCTTTGAGAAGGGGACCAAACAGGTGGATGAGGGTAAAGCGGTTGATGTGGTGTATATGGATTTCAGTAAAGCATTTGATAAGGTTCCCCATGGTAGGCTATTGCAGAAAATACGGAGGCATGGGATTGAGGGTGATTTAGCGGTTTGGATCAGAAATTGGCTAGCTGTAAGAAGACAGAGGGTGGTGGTTGATGGGAAATATTCATCCTGGAGTTCAGTTACTAGTGGTGTACCGCAAGGATCTGTTTTGGGGCCACTGCTGTTTGTCATTTTTATAAATGACCTGGATGAGGGCGTAGAAGGATGGGTTAGTAAATTTGCGGATGACACCAAAATCAGTGGAGTTGTGGATAGTGCGGAAGGATGTTGCAGGTTACAAAGGGACATAGATAAGCTGCAGAGCTGGGCTGAGAGGTGGCAAATGGAGTTTAATGCGGAAAAGTGTGAGGTGATTCACTTTGGAAGGAGTAACAGGAATACAGAGTACTGGGCTAATGGTAAGATTCTTGGTAGTGTGGATGAGCAGAGAGATCTCGGTGTCCATGTGCATAGATCACTGAAAGTTGCCACCCAGGTTGATAGCGTTGTTAAGAAGGCGTGCGGTATGTTAGGTTTTATTGGAAGAGGGATTGAGTTTCGGAGCCAAGAGGTCATGTTGCAGCTGTACAAAACTCTGGTGCGGCCGCACTTGGAGTATTGCGTACAGTTCTGGTCACCGCATTATAGGAAGGATGTGGAAGCATTGGAAAGGGTGCAGAGGAGATTTACCAGGATGTTGCCTGGTATGGAGGGAAGGTCTTATGAGGAAAGGCTGAGGGTCTTGAGGCTGTTTTCGTTAGAGAGAAGAAGGTTAAGAGGTGACTTGATAGAGACATACAAGATGATCAGAGGATTAGATAGGGTGGACAGTGGGAGCCTTTTTCCTCGGATGGTGATGGCTAGCATGAGGGGACATAGCTTTAAATTGAGGGGTGATAGATATAGGACAGATGTCAGAGGTAGGTTCTTTACTCAGAGAGTAGTAAGGGCGTGGAATGACCTGCCTGCAAAAATAGTAGACTCGCCAACTTTAAGGGCATTTAAATGGTCATTGGATAAACATATGGATGATAATGGAATAGTTTAGGTTAGATGGGCTTCAGATTAGTTTCACAGGTCGGCGCAACATCGAGGGCCGAAGGGCCTGTACTGCGCTGTAATATTCTATGTTCTATGTTAATTGCCTTGTGTTGAAAGGATTAGTGTAGATTTCTTCCGTGAGTTCCCAGCTGAACTAATCTTCCAGTTGCTTCATCCCTGACTATTTTTTTTCTTATACTGATTGAAACCAATCAGGAATAATCGATTCAGTGTTTACTTCAGATGTAGGCCTAGATTTATCTTCCAATGTCCAGCCAGCTAAAATCTACAGAAGATCCTTGGGTAATATTTGTAGAACTGAGAGACCTAGGGGTTCAGGTGCATAATTCTTTGAAGTTTGCGTCACACATAGACAGGGTGGTTAAGAAGGCGTTTGGCACGCTTGCCTTCATTGCTCAGACCTTTGAGTGTAGGAGTTGGGATGTCATGATGAAGTTGTACAGGACGTTGGTGAGGCCTCTTCTGGAGCACTGTCTCCAGTTCTGGTCTCCCTGCTATAGGAAGGGTATTATTAAATTGGACAGGGTTCAGAAAAGATTTAGTAGGGTGTTGCCTGGAATGGAGGGTTTGAGAGGATGGATAGGCTGGGACTTTTTTCACTGGATATGGGCGGTTGAGGGGTGACCTTATAGATGTTTATAAAATCACAAGAGGTAAAGATAAGGTGAATGGCAGGTGTCTTTCCCCTGGGGTGGGGGATTTCAAGACCAGGGGGCATATTTTTAAGGCAAGAGGAGAAAGATTTAAACACGACATGAGGGACAACTTTTTTATACAGAATGGTTCATGCGTGGAATGAGTGTCCAGAGGAAGTGGTGGATGTGGGTACAGTTATAATGTTTAAAAGACATTTGGATAAGTACATGAATAGAAAAGGTTCAGGGGGATATGGGCTCGGAGCAGGCAGATGGGACTAGTTTAGTTTGGGAACGTGGTCGGTGTGGACTGGTTGGAAAGAAAGGTCTGTTCCTATGCTTTATAACTATTCAAAGCTGACGCTTGGTTCCCTTTGGTGTCTTAGTTGCTTTTCCAACCATCGTGAGTCTCTTCCACCGGCTTTGCTTACCTGGATTTTGCACAGAGAAACTCAATCAACCTCACCAACATGTTTCCAGGTAAAAATACAAACTATCTTGGTTCCAAATCTCCCCTTCCTTCTCGGAAACCCCTGATAACCTTCACGAGAATAACTGCAAAATGTTGTGTCTTCAGGTAAGTAATCCTTGCTGCTGTTCTTGATATTTGAATTTCTTGTTTTTAATGTTAAGTCAATAAGGCCCCAAGCTTGTTGGAACTGCATTCACTTCAAGGTTACTTTTGGCCCATTGAGTCCACACCAACCCTCTGGGGAGAATATACAAATTCCATACAGACAGTCGCCCAGAGGGGTTGGAATTGAACTCATGTCCCTTGTACTGTGAGGCAGCAGTGCTAACCAATGAGCAACTACGCCACCCCTACCATTTATTGCTTTCAAAACCAGATACCCCAATTTTCTATAGATCAAACTTTAAATTCCAAAGCAAGAGGTGACATTCTAAAGCATGAGAATTGCAAACTAGGTTTTGACAACATTGCTGGAAGTGATGCAAAAGGTACTGCCGTTTGTACAAATAAAAGGTTGAATTTGACTATTTTGTTTGAAATGTGGAATACTTTTTACTTAGAAGTCAATCTTATACTGGCCTGCATGACCCAGCAAGGTATGATTCTGAAAGTTGTTTTTGCTAAAGATTTTTAGGTTCTGCCAAATTTTCTGTTTAAAAAAAAATTGTTCAGTTAAAGTAAGTCAAGAATGTTTTATAAAGAACTGCTCACCTATACTGGAAGAAATAACTACTTGTGATTTCTGGGTCAAATTTCTTGGTTTTAAGGCAATTGTCTCTTGTTTGGTGAAAGAGTTGGATTAGATGCCTGGACAATGTATTCGATTTTCGGACATTAATCTTTTAACCCTTTCTACATTAGAATAACAGACTTCAACATTGCAGATACTGCAACTATTTCCTGTTTCAGTGCTATCTACCATAATGGGCAGCACGGTGGCTCAAGTGCCAGGGTCCCGGGTTTGATTCCAGCCTCGGGTGACTGCGTGTAGTTTGTGCATTCTCTCCGTGCCGGTCTAGGCTTAGTCTGGTTTCCTCCCTGCAAAGATGTGCGGGTTAGATGGATTGGCCATGTTAAATTGCCAGCAGTATCCAGGGAATGTGCAGTCTAGGTGGGTGAGCCATGGGAAAAGCAGCGTTGCAGGGATAGGGTGGGATGCCCTTCGGAGGCTGGTGTGGACTTGATGGGCCGAACGGCCCGCTTCCACGCTGTGAGGATTCGATAAGGGACACTAGCTCAAAACTGGAGCTGGCATCCTTAAAAATGAAGTGGCAAAGTGTATTCTCCTTAATGGAATCGGTGAAATTTTCTGCAAAAGGTCATTGACTCGAGTACAGGAACAACTGTGGTCTAATTGAATGGTGGAACAGTCTGGAGGAGTCGAAGAGGCCTCCGCTGCAGTTCTGTTCCTCGATGGAGTGAACCAGTCAGCAGGAATGATGAATCGATCAACGCGATTAGACTGGCTGCTTAGAATCCAAACAGTGACATTGAATAATAAATTGAAGGTTTCCTCCTGGAGTTGAATGGCACAAGCAGGCATTTCCGGAACTGACCTGAAGGTGAATGATGCAGTCAATTGATAACTGGCAGGGGAGGATGGCTAATAGAAGGTTAGCCTGGTTGTAAGGGAGAGCCAGGCTTCATTGTTGACACCTGCTGGCAAAAGTACTGAGGGGGTGGATATTCTAAACAATGAAGGAGGAACCCTGTTGACTCAAACTGCAGGCGCACACACAAGGCAGAAGCCTAAAGTTATCGACGATCAGTGCTGTGAACGGCGTTTGCTCAATTCAGAGGTTTCTTCCAATTGACGATGAGCATCATTTTCATATCCAAATGTAACTGCTCCTCCAGAGCACTACAATGGGGGAGACGAAACACCAGACTAGGTACTCACTCTGCAGAACGCCTACATTCCGTCTGCAAGAATGACCCTGAACTGCCAGTTGCCTCCTACTGCAACACCCCACCCTGTTCCCTGGCCGACATCTCTGTCTCGGGCTTGCTACAGTGCTCCGGCGAAGCTCAGCGCAAGCTGGAAGAACTGCATCTCGTTTTCCACTTGGGGACCCTGCGGCCTTCATGGACTCAATATCCAGTTCAGATATTTTAGGCCCTGAAGATCATCTCCCACGTCCTATCACCTTTCCCTACTCCCCAGGTCCTGACATGACATGGGTTGCTTTTAGCTGAGCAAATCCATTTTCAACCACGGTGGCTCAGTGGTTAGCACTGCTGTCTCACAGCGCCAGGTACACAGGTTCGATTCCACCCTCGGGTGACTGTCTGTGTGGAGTTTGCACATTCTCCCCGTGTCTGCGTGGGTTTCCTCCAGGTGCTCCCGATTTCCTCCCACAGTCCAAAGATGTGCAGGTTAAGTAGATTTGCCGTGCTAAATTGTTCCTAGAGATGTGCCGGCTAGGTGGGTTAGCCATGGGAAACGCAGGGACAAAGTAACGAGTGGAATGCTCTTCAAACGGTTGGTGTGAACTTGATGGGCCAAATGACCTGATTCCAACAGCAATTCTGATTCACTCAAAGCCCCCTCCCCTTTATCGCCGATAATCTTCCTTATTATCAACCACCCCTTTGCCTAACTTTCTCTCTCTCTCACCCCACCCCCTCCATCCCTCCCTCTCCCCCTCTCTCTCTCTCTGTGTTTCCACCTCTCTGCTTTCCTCCTCTCCATCTCCCCTCCCTGCTGCCCTCAGCAAAACATCATACTTTCCTTGCCACTATCAGTTCTGAGGAATGATCACTGGACATAAAGCAATTTCTCCAGCAATTTTCTGTTTCCGTTTTCCCTGCATTTTGTTTCGGATCTCCAGTTTATTTTGTGCTTCCAAGAGAACTGAGAGATTGCGTTGTCTACGGTGGGGACAGCAATGTTGTACCGAGTGTGGGAGTCGGTTGACCTGAGTCAACTAGCTGCACATGACTTCAATGACTGTCACAGTGCCTGACATATCTGTTTCAAATGTTGACATTACAGTGATACACCCTACAGGCAGAAAACCCCACAGAGACAAAGTGGACCCTGCTGTCTACTAAGTGTGAAATTTCACATGCACACAATCTAAGCATCGCCCTTTTGTAGATTTCAAATTTCATTCACCCAGGGAATTTCAGTATTTGTTTGTGTTACACTTCATTGTTTCCCTACTTTGTATCGTATTCAGAGCTTTCCCTCGCCTTTTTCCAGGAATCATTTATATATAAATACCTTTAACCCCTGAGGTGCTGAGAAGGCAGCACTTTTCATTTTAGCAACTGAGTGTTGCTGTCGAACGTGCTTAGTCCCAAATAAAAACCGAAAGAACTGCGGATGCTGTAAATTGGGCGTGGGGGGGGTGGGGAAACAGAAGTTGCTGGAAAAACTCAGCAGGTCTGGCAGCATCTGTGAAGAAAAAAAGCCAGAGTTAATGCTTCAGGTCCAGTAACCCTTTCTCAGAACTTCTTTTTTCATGGATGTATGTGGGTAGGGATTGGACCGGGGGGAGAAGACTGAGTCAAGGTAGGAGGAGATGAGCCCTGTGGGGCACGAGCAGGCTGAAACGGTGGGTCTGCCCGGACAGTCCCGTTTGTGGATTTTTAGAAGGAGGTAGAAGCGAGCTGTGCAAGGCTGGGGGACTATCAGTTTGGAAGCAGAGCGGGGGGAGATCACCGGATGAAAAGAGATCAGTGACCGTAGTAGATACAATGGCCTGATGCATCATGGTGGGGTCATGGTCCAGGGGAAGGTAGGAGGAGGTATCTGAGAGCTGGCGCTCAGCCTCTGCAAGGTAGAGGTCAGTATGCCAGCCTACAACAGGACCACGCTTATCGGCAGGCTTAATGACAAAGTCAGGGTTAGATCTGAGTGCACAGAGTGCAGTCAGTTCGGAGGGAGATAGGTTGGATTTGGTGAGAGGGGCAGCGAAATTGTGGCGACTAATATCACTTCGACAGTTCTCAATGAAAAGATTGAGTGCAGGTAAAAGGCCGGAGGAAGGGGTCCAGTTGGAGGGAGAGTGTTGGAACTGGGCGAAGGGGTCTGTGGGATGGGAAGAGGATTCTTGTCCAAAGAAATGGGCACGGAGGAAGAAGAGTTCGACGTCATGTCGTGCCCGAAATTCGTTAAGCTGGGGACACAGGAATAAAGCTGTGTCCTTTGCTGAGTTCGGAACGTTCAGCATTGGAGAGTGGAAGCTTAGGAGGGATGGTGAATATCCGACAGGAGGTGGGATTGGGAGAGGGGATGGAGTCAGAGGGAAGGGGAGGAGAGGTAGGTTCCAGAGGGCCATAGGTATCTGAGTTGTTGCATCTTGTGGGCCTTGATGCCTGAAAGGAAAAGAAAAAGTTTCTTGTAAGCATGATGAATGAGCCAGAGGATGAAGTGGAACTGCGGAGTGGGGCAGCCCTGAGCCAGTGTGTTGCGATGCTGTTGGAGAGAAAGGTCGAGAGTGTGCATGTGACACTGCATGGCACTGAGTGTGGATCTCAGGAAGCTGCGAGAGCAGCTGTCTGTGGAACGTTGAACATCACGGAGATATCTGTGATCCTGGGAGGATTCAAGACATGAGGGATGAAACTTGAGCTGGAATCCACGTGGGGTGAGTCTGAGCCGGAGGCAGTCACTGAGGAATGTGATATGGCTGTTGAAACGAGTTTTAGCAAATGCTTGGTCAAACACCAGGACTGACAGTGAAATTAATGTCGGTGGGCAAAAAGAAAGATTGAAACAGAAAGATTGGGAGGTGATGACCTACTGATAATATCACTGAACTGTTAATCCAGAGACCCAGATAATGTCCTGGGGACCTGGGTTTGAATCCTGCCATGGCAGATGGTGAAATTTGAATTCAATAAAAATATCTGGAATTAAGAATCTAATGATGACCATGAATCCATTGTCGATTGTCGGAAAAACCCATCTGGTTCACTCATGTCCTTTAGGGAAGGAAATTGCCATCCTTACCTGGTCTGGGCCTACATGTGACTCCAGACACACAGCAATGTGGTTGACTCTTAACTGCCCTCTGGGCAATTAGGGATGGGCAATAAATGCTGCCTGGCCAGTGATGCCCTCATCCCGTGAATGAATAAAAATCCCGTCGGAGAGGAGCAGAACTTCTTCAAGGTGGGCATGCCTCGCAGAGAGTTGAATACTAGTTTTTTTTTTCTTCACATGCTGCCAGGCCTGTTGAGCTTTTTCAGCAACTACTAGTTTTTGTTCCATGCTTAGTCCCACACTGGTTATGTACAATGTAAACATTCTAGCCCTACAGTGTCACTCCCTCTACACCGTCCCCATCAAACACTCCCGGTAACATCCTGGTAAATCTTTTTCTGCATCCTTGCTAATTAGTGACACCCTTCCTATACAAGGGTGTACAGGCCTGCATGCGATATTCCAAAAGTGGCCTTACCAAAATGCTGTAAAACCTCAACATGACATCCCAACTCCTATGCTCAATGCTCTCATCATTTCTTTGCAAATATCCAACAAGCAGAATGCTGTTCGTCCATCATACAAAGAGAAGGCAGAGACAGAAGAATAAAAGTAAGAAAGGTTTGGAGGGTTTGAGCTGTAGGAAGAAGTTGAATAGGCTGGGACTTATTTCCCTGGAGCATCGGAGGCTGAGGGGTGACCTTATACAGGTTTATAAAATCATGAGGGGCATGGATAGGCTGAATAGTCAAGGTCTTTTCTCCAGGATAGGGAGTCCAAAACCAGAAGGCGTAGATTTAAGGTGAGAGGGGAAAGATTTAAAAGGGACCTAAGGGGTAACATTTTCACGCAGAGAGTGGTGCATGTATGGAATGAACTGCCAGAAATAGTGGAGGAGGCTGGTATAAATACAACATTTAAAGGGCATCTGGATGTGTATGTGAATAGGAAGGGTTTAGAGGGATATGGGCCAAATGCTGGCAAATGGGACTAGATTTATTTAGGATATCTGGTAAGCACAGACGAGATGGACCAAAGGGTCTGTTTCCATGGTGTACAACTCTATGATTCTATAAGACACAATGCTTAGGTCCTACCAATGCAGAAAGGTCCACACTATTGGGGTTCTGCCGGACCATGTACTTAAAGCTGATTCTTGATCAGATGGGGAATTAAGGGTTGTGGGGAAAAAGTGGACCGGAAGGTGGATGTGACTGATCATGATGTGTGGCATTGCTCAGAGTGCAGGGAGGAGTTGAACAGTGCTGGGAATGGGGGAATGTGTGGATTTGCAGTTACAGCAAGTATGTTACAGCCTGTCTTCCCAGTCTCACCAGCGTCCTGCACAACTGAAGTATAGCCTCCCTACTCATGCAATCGATTCCCATTCACAGAAAGGAGGCACATAGAGTCACTGAGCATGGAAACACACCATTCCGTCCAACCAGATCACAATCCCAAACTAAACTAGTCCGTCCTGCCTGCTCCTGCCCCATATCCCTCCAGATCTTTCCTATTCATGTACTTATCTAAGTTCTTTTAAATGTTGTAACAGTTACAACCACCACTTCCACTGGAAGTTCATTCCAGACACAAATCACTCTGTGTAAAACATTTGCCCCTTATGTCTTTTTTAAATCTCTCTCCTCCCCTTAAAAATATGCCCCCTAGTCTTGAAATTCGCCTTCTTAAGGGGAAAAAAAATACCTACCATTAATCCTATTTATACCCCTCGTCATTTTATAAACCTCTGTAAGGTCACCTTTCAACCTCCTATGCTCCAGTGAAAAAGCCCCAACCTATCCAGCCTTTCTTTATAACTCAAAACCCTCCATTCCCCACAACGTCCTGGTAAATCTCTTCTGAACCCTCTCCAGCTTAATACTATCCTTCCTATAATAGGGTGACCAGAACTGGGCACAGTACTCCAGAAATGGCCTCACCAATGCCCTGTAACCCTATGAGCTCTCCTGATTACTTGCTGTACCCACTTATTGGCCTTTTGGCCAATTCATACCCTAGGGCACCCCTGCAGTGTGGCTCTCTTGCTGTTTAGATGACACACTTCTGTTTTTTTGGTTTTTCCCACTGAAATGTACAACTTTGCATTTTTGCAGGTTACACCAGGGCTCTGTCTGCCTACCTTGACGGGGCTGTATTGAAGAACGAAGATCGTATTCGTGGCTCGGGCCTGACAGGATTTGGCAATAGCTGCCAGGAAAGCAAGTAGATATACAATCACACATGCCCGCGTGGAAGAAACCCAATGCCCACCATGCCCGATAAAGCAAGTTCTGTCTTGAAGTGAATGTATTATCCAGCAAAGAGGGCATGCACAATCTGAGAAAGGACCCTCAATCAACCAGCAGGTAACGCATACTCCAAATACCGGAAATGTACTGAATTATCACGATCTTGCCGCTGTTAAAGTTGAGGGTGTGAATGAGAAGGCTCTCTGCTGTTAAGTTTTATTTAAAGCATTACTTGACTGCATAAATCACTTAAATAAAGTGTGTACCCACACCCCCACTACCACCCCCCCCCCCCCAGATTACATTTCTATTATGCAGTGTGAGTTTTTATGGACCTCTTTATTATCTGGAATATTTGACCAACCAGTGCACCGCTGGTCCCATAGGTGCCAGTTAATAGAAAGTTTGCTCTATCTCACTTGTGGCCTAACCGATATTTTATAAAGTTGTGATGAGACTTCCCTTCTCCTATATTCTACACCCTGGCTACTGGAGACAAGCATCCCATATGCCTTCTTCACCACCCTGTCTACCTGTGCTGACACCTTGAGGGGTCTATGGACTTGTATACCAAGATCCCTTTATTCCACAGTACTCCCCAGGGACCCACCATTCATTCTGTAAATCCTTCCCGTGTTAGAGCTCCTTGGAACAATAACTCCATGGTGCCTCTTCAGGAGAGGTCAGGAGGTACGCGTACGTGAGTGTGGTGGAAGGGACGGGGGCAAGTTAAGGACAGAGTGCAACAGGCCCCACAGCATGTGAGAGTGGGATGGCGGGCATCGGGGGTTAGTGGGGAGAGGAGAAATCAACAAGAAATGAATTGCCACACTCTCAGCCATACCCTCACACTCAACACAGACACACATGCACAGACACAAACTCTCACACTCACTCACCTCTCACTCTCCACAGACACATAAACACACACACTCTCACACTCAACACAGACACATAAAAACACACACACACTCTCTCTCACTCACACACACACACACTCACTCTCACACTCAACACAGACACATACACACTCAACACAGACACATAAACACACACACACTCACACTCAACACAGCCACAAACGCGCGCACACACACTGAACACAGCCACATAAACACACGCACACATGCACACACACTCACTCTCACACTCAACACAGACACACAAACACGCAAACACACACTCAACACAGACGCAAACACACATACTCAAAACAGACACCCACATGCACATGCACACACACACACGCACAACACAGACACGTAAACACAGTCACTCACGCAACTCAGACACATAAATGCACACACTCACTCTCACACTCAACACAGACACACAAACATACACACACAGTCTCAACACAGATACATAAACGCACACACTCAACACAGACACATAAACACACACACTCAC